GTGATTGACTTGACTGAAGATAAGTGTCTCTTTATTGCATTCTGTTTCTTTGGTATATCACTAACTCTTATCTCTATTCTTAATAAGGGCTGTTTTTCCTAACACATTCAGCTTTACCTTTTCGGCATACATTGGTAAGCTATTTATACTTTTCTATCTAACAATGACTATCTATTTTATAATCAACTATACTAACTCTAAGCTTTGCTAAACTTTCTATACTTTTCAGATATACACAGTTTCCTTATCAGTACCTGAGCCTTATCTATAGTTTCTTATCTTGCAATACTTAATCTTTTATGTCAAACTTTCAGGTTTTTGGATTCTAGACTATTACGCATAAATCGCATCACCCACGTGGCCCATAACAGCAGGCTAGAAGAGAAAACTCTTTGATTTGATAACAAACATTTTATTTGAGCCAAGTTCTCATAATAGTAGCCTGGAAAGAATATACTATTGATGTTAATATTAAAAACTTTCTTAAAAAATAAAATATAAAGAAAATAGGACTAGCTTGGACTGAGCAAAAATGTATTCAAGACTGATGAATATACTCTAATAAAGAGATTTGTTGGCAAATTTTCTGGAAATAATTCAATTCATACAATACCTTTTATACCTTCTTTTAGCATCAATAAGAACAAAAGTTTTTAGTAAATCTAACTTATGATAATCTTCCTATTCTCCAAGTAATATACAAAGAAAACCAGATATATATTAGAATATAATATGCTTAATATGTAAATCACAAGAAGAAACCCTGAAACATCTCTTTGAATATCCCAAAACCCAAATCAAAAGATCAATTATATAGAACAAATATCAAAATAAATTTATTCAATATATTAGAAAAATAAAGGATTTATCTGATAAGAGCTAAGCAAAAGTTAAAAAGATAACAGTAAAATGAATCTAGAACATTAAACAATAGGATAAAAGCAAATATATTACAGTCTATGGCTTTATATATAGAAACAAGATCAAGATCAGGGAAAAGTATCTCAAAGTCCTCAAAATCTCAAAGACAACAATACAAGAAACTAATAATAAATTTTATAAAAAACTAAAAAAGATCTTTAAGAAAGAAGTTGGGAATAAATATTGTAATATCATTATCAAATAGAAACAAAATCAAGAAATTATCAGCAAACTCAAAAGGCTTAGAATACCAGCTGATACAATTAAAAAAATGGATCGAGTCCTTAAGAAAACCAATCACTCCTCTATTCTTCTCTCCAAAAATATAATATAAGATAAAGAAGACTTAGAATGAATAAAGCAATATAATAGATATAATAAGTAATTGAATATCCAAAGGTTTTAAATGGTTTGGTTTTTAATCTTAGTTAGAACTTTAGAAGATCTACAGTAATAAGTATAGATAATAATTTGAGTGGCTAAAGAATAATCCAAGTCACAAAGGAAACAAAATATCATTTCTAAAGTTGTATCTAGAGAGATTAAATTTTGTAAATGGATAAGTCAATATATGAAAGTTATAAAATATATAAATACCAAATATATTTACAATAAAATGAATAAGCCATATTGGTTTGACTGTAGGTTAAAAAAAAAAAAAAAAAAAAAAAAAAAAAAAAAAAAAAAATAATTTTTTTTTTTTTTTTTTTTTTTTTTTTTTTTTTTTTTTTTTTTTGCGTTTTCACAGTTGACCAGACTCAATATAAGTCACAAGAGTCAACGGTGCAACATCAGATAAATCAAGTGGGTACACTTTTCCCGTGAGAGATCGGATTTGTTTGTAAACTAATCGAACTTTCTTTTTGCTGAATGGCGTAGAGCGATGACATCTATAATTATCATCCATCGAACAAAAAATGGAAAAACAAGGCAAAGTCATTGGTAAAGAGATTGTCTAGTCGGGTGAGTTTTCCCGTAATCTCTTTTTATACGAATGCTCTCGCTAGCAGAAATATATACTCTACATATATATATATATTTATTTATATAAATTAATGAGGAAAAATCTTTATCACATTTGACCTTAGAATCCGAAATCGCAAAGGGCCCACGAAGGGGTCACGTCTGTAAATAATAGTGAAGGTACGAACTGTTCAATTTTATAGAGGCTTGATTGTAGGCTGAGGAGAAGAGCGTAATTATTTTTAGACACCTGGGTCATAATTAGATGTACATTTTTATTACATTTCCGCAATTTAACCTGAGGGAATATTGATTTCGATCGAAGCGATGAACTAACGTTGGGAGAGAGTTTTTTGCACGTAGGTGGTGAGATGAAATAGATTATGGTAGATCGGCTTTGTCTGTTCATAGAGTGATTTATTTATTTCGCACCATACTGCGCGATACTTATATATAATAACAGTGTTAGATTAATAAATTTGTGTATGTATTTATCAAAATTTCTGTCAGAAGGGTAAAAATGACATAAGTTATGACGTGTGGCGTTGAAGGAGGATTACAAGCGAACTGTATTCTCGGGGTTACGCAATCTCGGAAAAAAAAATTTTTTTTTGACGAAACAGTGAAAATAGTTTTTTACGTCGTTTATTTGTCACGAGAAAAGAAATGAATGAATGACCTGAACAGCAAAGATTCTATTCATTGGGACACATCTACTGGACGGGGAATATCATTCAGGCGCGGGGATCACAATTATCGACGTCTTTAGCAATGTGTTGTTGTCTGCGATAGTCGCTCAGGGCATACGATATTATCGGGACATTTGTTTTACTTATCGTTACTTTGATGCTATTATTTTAGACGGCAGCGAAGAGGATTTAACCGTTGGATGGACCCTGATAGATCGAGGTTAACGAACGCCCTTTATTGGTTTATCGATATTTTAATATAATGTTATATTGCTATGCTTCAACGTCTTTCTTTTCCTCTATACAAATAAAGACGAATTCGACGAATTCGAAACATCATCGCCAAATCAAGGCACGAGTTTGGGTAAGAGAACTTTATTGTATTTCGCAACAACAACACTTTCCTTGACCTTCCCTGAACACGCATTACTCTCGATGTAGCCACGAGAATCGGTGTGGCCGGTCCTTCGGCAACTGGTGGTGGCACCGGACCGAACACAGATGAAGAATTGGATCAATGTAAATTTTGAATTTTCAATTTATTGGTGACATCTACCCTTATATTAAAACGAACTTTCACCTATCTTTTTCGATCCATGTCACACACACACCTTCACCATAATTATTTACTCAAGACGTTTATAGCGATCACTGTAAATTTTTGTTCTTGAGGAATCAATGGCCTTTGCGTTCACAAAAATGTTTCGCCGCATACCACGCAAGGGTTGGAGATTTGGAAGGCATCAGGTGGCATGTCAGGAATGATGGAAAAGATGTTGTCAATGGTGTTCAAGAAATTTCGGGTCCCAGGAATAGGTGAGACACTGTCGAGACAATCATGTTTTTTAATCCATGTCCTCGTTTTCCATTAACTTTTCGCGCGAAAACAATCAATAGCTACCGAAAACCCTTGGAACCTCTGGTGATAGAAGCCACCGCCCACTGTCCAGCTCACTTGCTTCTTCCAACCTACACACTGCTTCTGAACCTCGGAGCGGATTTTCACTCGACCGACTCC